CGCAAATGGCTACCATATTGAAAAATATACTATTTTTGTATGATAATTATGGGTTTTGTATTTTATTTTAATAGAAGTTGATGTTGCTTTTGCAATTATCCATCAATTTTTTAAAATTAAACACTATCTACAGATTTGCATCGAAGCGTTTCTTATGATAGTGATTTTAATCACTGTCAGATTAAATCTATACTGGACCCTACTATGCAATGTCTCTACTATGCCGCGACCCCACTGTGCTACCGTTTTATTTTATTGTAATTGAAATAATAATAATCAATTTTTATGAAACCATTGAGATTTTTTAAAATTTTGTGTAGAGAAGAATGATTATAAATATTATAAAAAAAATCAATGTATTGATTTAGAGTTCACCTATTACTATTACTATATACCGTTATAGTAGTAAGTCAACTATTCCATCATATGGCTATTGTTTTTGTATAATATCGGAGTCGAATTAAATATATATTATTATGCGGAACAATCGATAATTATTATATCCCCTCAAACACACAGGTGATTAGCATCAAGATGGCTCAACTCAATATCCAGCCAATTATGTATAGGTACGGGGATTTGAACTATGCATAGACTATTTGGCAGTTTTTTCTCATTTCATCAACAAAAAAAAAAAATATTATTTTGCTCAGTTTAATTTTTATTATTTAATAGAGTATTGTAGACATTTTATAAAATAGCTTGAAAAATATTACTTAATTACTTTTTTTTTGAATATTTGTGATGTATTATTTTACTTAAGTCTGTAATATAATAGCAAAATAAATTAAAAATATTATTTAGAAATAAATGAATTACAACATCCTGATTGATTACAATCTCTATTCTATATCTTAATTTCTAAGTTTGGTAAAATTTGATCAGAGACATTTTTAGTTTTCTCAAAGAAAAGGTGATATTAGGTTAAATAATTAAACGTTTAAATTAGAAAACGAATTTTTAAGTTATAGAAAAGTCATAAACGTAAAATTTAACATTTTTTAATCAAGTTGTGTCTAAAATAGAAAATATAGAATATTGATCTCCGTCACTATTTTACCCTACTGTCTCATAGGCTACTTTAAAGAATATCTATACTAATTGTTTAGTTTATGGTTTAAGTTCTAAAAAAAAACGGAAATAACAAATATTTTGAATTGTTAAAATACTAAAATATTATTAAAGCGTGTTAAAAATTTATTCATTATAAAGGGTAAACAAATATATCAAAACTAAAAGCATGTTTATAATTAGCAAATGCATAACAAATACTTGTTATTTCAAATAGGTTGTTATATTTTAGTACATAAATTATTAATATTTGAATTTAAGAGTAAACTTTAATTTATTTTACACGAATAATTACCATATTCATTTACCTCTCTCATAAACTTAAGATTTATTATAAAGCGTGTATTAAATTATATTAAAGTAATTATTAAATAACGACAAGTATTTAGCTTAAAGAATTTTAGTTAGTTCGGTAAAGTGATTTAATAATACTACAATAAAACTAGATGTTTGGAAAATACTTTGTGTTGTTCTTTTTACTGTGTGTAACTGGAGTCGCAACCGGGTCGAAGACAAATTTAATGAAAAAACTACTAGAGTATCCTTTATGGGAAAACTATGCAAAAGACGTTAAGAAATCCTTTATTGAAGGTATCGTTGTCAATGAACATAAAGAAAAAAAGACTATCAGTTAAAGAAATAATCCAAATTCAATCGAATAATGAAAATACCGAAAAAGAAATTCACGACATTGAAATACGCCGATTTTTTATATTAACAAATTATCACAATGCTTTTGTACAAACACGGCAATATTTTTACGATTAAATTTATTAGCGAAAATTGTTTGACTTGGAAAGATGAAAATGAAAAATCTTAGTA